AACAGGTCCTCATTGGGATCCGTGCTCAGAAGTGAGTCTGAGCACCTTGGGGAGGTGGGATGCTTCTGAGACAGGCTAGAGAGGGGGTGGGAGAGAGCGGAGGACGCAGGCTCATGATGATTAGAGGATGAGAGACAGGAGAAGCCTGACCACCTGCCAAGACCGAGCATCTCAATTCCCAAAGGCTGAGATAAACCTACCTCTTCACTGTGGGGCAACAGTTAGAAGCAGTGACAGGGACCCCAAAACATGATCACGAGAAACATGAGGGTCCCTGAAGGCTTCAGGTCATGTGGGCAGCCAAGGGCTTCTCCCAACCAGAGCATAATCTTCAATGGCAGCTTTGACATTCATGAAATGCAAGGTCTCCGAGAAGCTAGCCATACCAGCCAGATGTGGCTCTTCCCGAATTTATGAAAAGTGTCCCATTTGGGCCAATGCAGATGCCTGTGCATACATATCGTAGATGAGAATGCTACTATACATTTTCACATGCTCAGCCTTGTTTTTGATCCTCGCAAAATCTGCACCAGGTAGGTTTTGTAATGTTTGCTTTACAGCCTAGGAAATGGGGGGCACAGAGAAGTGGGGTGATTCACTCAGGACCACCCAGCCAGTATAGGGTAGATTTGTTTCTCAAACCTGGGGAAATTAATCTTCTGGCCCCATTTGGCTCTAAATCTCATCATCATCCCACTATACCGATCCCTCCCTCATCTCTATACACACTATTTCTGAAGGAGAGTTGGTTTGAATTCCAGAGGGTTACTTAGTTTTTTCTTTAATACAGTTGTCCTATGGGACCATCTGGGAGGAAACCGCCTATCTCCACACTGTCCAGTGGGTGTGCTCCTAGGACTGAAACACTGACTTTTTCATTTTAATTAATTTCAATTAGTGTTACTCTAATTAGCCTTGAGAGGCTAATGGCCACCATATTGGACAGTGTGGCTTTCTATAATCATAGGCTGTATTTATATTTCCGTTTTCTTTTCAGAAGGGCACAAAATAAATCAAGCTTAAAAAAGGCTGGTTTTAATTGGTACAGCCATTCTAGATCAACTCGGGGAAAGTGTGTGTGATTGTGTCAAACACAGAACTAGGCCACAGTTCTCCATATTTATTTAAATTTTTAATTGTTTTTATTGTTGACAGTATTACAGATGTCCCCTATGTCCCCCTTTTTGCCCCCCCCAGCCTCTGCCCCACCCCAGGCCTTCACCACACTATTATCTGTGTCCATGAGCTATGCACATATGCATATAAGTTCATTGATTAATCTCTTCTAGGCTCCCACTCCCCTGCCCTCTGAGATCTGTCAGTCTGTTCCATGCATCCATGCCTCTGGACCTGTTCTGTCTGTCAGTTTATTTTGTTCATTAGATTCCACATATAAGTGAGAGCCTGTGATACCTGTCTCCATTCTCCATATTAAAATCAGTGAAACACATGGGAAATGAAATCATGTGATGCAGTGGGCAGCAAACTACAGCCAAGGGCCACATCCAGCCCACAGCCTGCTTTTGTAAGGCTTGTGAGCAAAGAATGAGTTTAGATTTTTTTAAAAGCATTATAAAAACAAAATAAAAACAGAAATATCGGGAAAGAGACATAGGTTGCCCACAGAGCCTAAAATCTCAGTAATCTGACTCTATAAAAAAAAAGTATTCTGAACTCTGACTTAATGGATCACTGTTGCTTCACTGTTTATAATACATTTTTTCTGAGTTTAAGAGTCAAGAGTAAAGATTTATAATAATTATAGAAACTATGATGTGCCTGTGCCTTCATTTTAAAATTGTATAATCAGTCATATTATCTACCCATTTGTCATCCTATTATTTTCACTTATTATCTTGTCATGTGTACTTTATGCAAATATGTTAATGACCTCATAATGATCTGTTGTTTCATGATATTACATTTCAATCTATCCCCCCTCCATTTGGGGTACTTAGATTGATAGGAATTTTTCAAAAATAATAAGGAAAATCAATGCCCTGGAATGTATTAGTATCAAAGACAACAACAATGATTAGCTAACCCTCCTAGCCCATAATAAAACAAAACAAAAGCTGGTTTCTTACCCCCCCAGTAATGGTATTTAGACTGACCAGCTCAGTTAGTGTTTTGTAAGGGCAGCCAACCTGAGACCTCCCCTTCTCCAGCTGGCTGGCTTGAGGGGCCTTCCATTATCTGTATCCTGAGGCTACGCATTGTTGCTGAGTGTAAAGATTATCCATTCCTCCCAAAGCACTTGGCTAAGACTTCCTTTCTCCCTCTTCTCCAAGTCAGCAATGCCTTTTTGGGCCAGGCTGTTTGCAATTAGCTGTCTTCTTTGCAACATTTACTTGGGTTTCCTCTTCCAGATTAAGGTGTACATCCTGGTACAAAGTCACACCCCATTTTCACCAGACACAGTCACCTGAGATAACTCTCCTCCCTCCAGGTGTGACATACACCTGGGTAAGGGCCAGAGGCCTTGTCTCTGAGGTCTGAAGGGTGTGGCCTCTTTTTCTCTCCGGATCCAGCCTTTTCCGCAGAAGCTGAGGCCCCCTCTCTTCTCAGCCATTGTTGAGGATTCACCTGGTTTTTAGCTTGGAAGTGCATGCTTCTCGCTTAGGAGGAACAGTTGTGCTCCTGGAAAAGGGGGAAATACATTGCACTTTTGTAAATTGTATCCTCTGTGTTCACTGGCCTCTATGAGCACTCCTGAGTTTGTATTTGTTTCACGCATCTTTACCTGGCCTTGGATGTTTTAAACTTAAATGGTCCTGCTTTGTAGCCAAATAGCTCATCATCTGTAAATAACACCCTTAAATGCAGTAGGGGAGATGGTTTTTAAAGGAACCCTGCTGAATTAGTCAGTAATGAAAATAACTCTACTGAAGTTATCTGTTTTTTAAGATGCATTTTTGCATAATGGGTTTTCCCCCTTAAGTGAACCATCCTCATAGCACGACCCAGGACACGAAAGCATCCAGAGAAAGGTTTTCACGCAGGCGCTGTCAATACAGCCTAATCCCATAGAGCCTCCCATCTCATACGACTGACTCCAGTTTCTCCTCCTCATGCCCTTTAGCATAGTGTGAAACCCTAGTTCAGGTGTCATGGGACATCAAACATCCTCTTACATGCCCTCATAAATCACTCATTCTGAGTGTACAATGGGCCTACTTTCTATCAAACTTAAATAAAGTCAGAGCAAAACTCCAGAGAATAAGGGAAGATCATCTTGCCCCACATGCAAAACATGTAGTATTAATATTGTTGTCTTAAGATATTAATTTTAATCAACTAAATTAAACTAATAAAATACTTTTAACCATTTTAAAACAACTTTTTAAAATTAATTTGAAAGAGGAAGAGAGATAGAGAGATTGATGTGAGAGAAAAACATTAATTAGCTACCTCCTGTATGTGTCCTGACCAGGGATTGAACCTAAATCCTAGGTATGTGACCTGACAGAGAATCGAACCTGCAACCTCTTGGTGTACAGAATGACGCACCAGCTGAGCCACCTGGCCAGGGCAATTTTAAAATAATATTAATTAATTAATTAATCATGTGTTTGCTTTGAGTAGCAAACAATACAACCCCCAGGCCAGTGGTCAGTAGGCCTTGCCTGTCCCGAGTGAAAGGCACCAGCCACACTAGCACTGTTTGCACGCAGTGAATGCATAATATAAACATGTCTCCAGGCCGAAGTAGGAAGGTAAAGAACATCCCACCTCTCTTCCAAGTTAAGGCATTACTCTGGTTTCTACTCTTCAAGTTAAGGCATTACTCTGGTTTCTACTCTTTGAAACACGCAGCAGTAAATCATTGGTTCCATAAATATGAAAGCCCACCTCCAATATGGATCAGCAAAGCC